CCCTGAGCTGACGATTAGAGATATGTGTAGGCCACATCAATCTGCCAAAGAATCGGGAAATGGCAGCATTACATTGCGAAGTGACCTGGCATCCCAGGGACCTACTCAATCACCACCATCAAGAACCAGGGTCCCCAGGGTACTATCTCGACTACTCCCATACAATCGGCCAGGCAATAAGGAACTGATTTCTCCCTAGCGGCCGCTATGCTTCCGCAATGGGGAGAGGAGGGGCCGCTATGCTTCCGCAATGGGGAGAGGAGGGAGATGTACAAGTCAAATTACTTACCTTCTAACATGGCTGCCTTGTATCTCCTTGTAAAGGCAAGCCAGCTAATTCTACCTCATTTATAGGAGAGTACCTATTAGCAGCAGGCGGGTTAGTCCACTTTGTTGGAATGGACCTGCCCAACACATTTGCATGAGTGCACTCTATTCACCCATATATCTCTCCATTAAATGACTCAGGGTTGGAAGGCAACTTCAAGTGACTACACAAGTCTATTGTGTGTCAGACCACTTGCAAGTTAACCAACATTCAATTGAACTTTTTAGGATATATAATGAGGAAAGGAAGCTTGGAATATTTGACACACACAAGACATATTGCAAAAAAAGACAAGAAACCTACGTAATAAGTGTAAATGGATGGCAGAAAATGGAATGAGAGTGATAGTAAAAAGAAAATTATTGCTAAGAGCTACAAAGCATAAGAAGTTGTGGATGTGCACGATCGCTCACACGGCACATTATATTTTCTTAGAGTAATAAAAGACAGGAAGTTGTGAAGAGCCATGATGCTGGATGCATGTGTCACATGAAAGAATATAATACCGGCTCTAGTCGAACTGGGTAGGATTGCTGCTGTATTAATGGGGTGATGAGGCACCGAACCTGACAAGGTTTGTTACCAAGATAGATGTGAATAGAGAACAGTTACTAAGTGTAGAAGTCAAATGACTTACCTTCTAATATGGCTGCCTTCTTGCATCTCCTTGTAAAGGCAAGCCAGCTAATTCTACCTCATTTATAGGAGAGTACCTAATGCAGCACTGACTACACCAGTCTACTTGTATGTCAGACCACTTGCAAGCTAACCAATATTCTACGATAGAATATCTCACAAAAAATTTTGTCTTGAAATAGCTGATGAGATATTGCATGATAATTTTTTTTTCATCCTGAAGCAGCTAAGTTATTTCACTAATATGATATCTCACATTGACAATGTCTTGAATTGTTTATGCAGTGAATAAACTATTACAATTTAATTTTCCAACTTTAGTAATGATATCTAATTCAATATATTTTCACAAACTGGCAAAATTTATGTCTCCTGCTGATAAATTTGATTTAAACAGTATCTAGTAAACAATATAATCTAGAATTTAAAATTGGAGATGCTCATGAAATAACAATATGCATATATTTTTGATGAACTTCATATTTGCAAGATTTGGGTTTTCTTAACTTGGTAGTGAATTGGATATTGATTTAAGTTAGAGATTTGTAATGAGAACAGTTCAAGCATTGATTGTCCTAGAACAGATGACGAAATGTACTGAGATCATCCCACCAAAATAGACTTTGCACATAGTGTCACACCAGATCATCAAAAATCAGGTGCATCAGTGGGCTAACCTGGGAAGTAACCTCATAGTTGATAGTGTACATGCTTCATACGAGTTTAGTGGCTGGCACTGACATGTAAACAAGTAGTTGACCCAGCTGCATTTAGGATGGGCACACATGACAACTGGATGAGAGGAAGATATATAAATGTCCTCCCCAAAAGTGAAGAAGAATACATATTTGGAGAAAATCTCCAGAAACCACACACTCACATACTGATATTAATTGATAAAATCTAGAGGTGAAGAAGCAATAGATTTATGTATTAGAAATTTACCAGCGTTAATATTGCATATAGATAAAAAAAAAAAATGAACTATTAAACATAAATAATCTGCTTAAGAATATACTCTGATCATTTGTGGATATCTATGCTGACGATACAATGGTATATGGGTTCACTTCCAAAACCCTAGATGACCAGAGATTTGCAGTCAATCTCTCCTCTGATCTAGCACTAATAGCTCAAAAGAGGAAAAACTCTTCTCTGGACATCCCTCTTAAAACTCTTCTCTGGACATCCCTCTTTATACTTTATATAAATGATCTGCCTAAGAGTATACTCCAATCATTTGTAAATATCTATGCTGATGATACAACTGTATATAGATTCACTTCCAAAACCCTAGATGACCAGAGAATGGCATCTGATCTCTCCTCTCACCTAACAATAACTCAGTGGAGGAAAAACTCTTCTTGGGACATCCCTCTTTTTACTTTATATAAATGACCTGCCTAAGAGTATACTCTGATCATTTGTAAATATCTATGCTGATGGATGATACAACTGTATATGAGTGCATCTCTCAAACTTGTGATGATCAGAGATTGTCAACTGATCTCTCCTTTGATCTAAAGTACACACTGCTCTGTACAGTGCGATCTTGGTCTAACAAGTGAGATTTTTGTTCAGGAAGACACATCTAAAAATTTTCTGCATCATTCGTAAGCTTTTTCTTGATCTGTTCTCCTGAACTGGAATCTCACCTGGGTACATTATAGATAGGGTAGCGGATATTCTGAAGAAGTTTTCAGTCATCAGACATTCACTGGAAGATTCCTCTCAGTAATAAAATCTTTTTTTAACTGGTAGGACATTGAAGGTTAACGTCCAGTTATCCGGGCCCTTAGCAATCAATACAGGCGTCAACAGTGGTCGCTTTTTGAACCAACCCCCTTTTAACTTTATATAAATGATCTGCCTAAGAATATACTCTGCTCATTTGTGAATATCTATGCTGATGATATGATATACAGGTGCACCTTCAAAAGCCATCGATGACCAAGGCCTGGAAGGTGATCTCTCCTCTGATCTAGCTCTATCAGCTCAGTGGGGGAAAATCAGGCTGGTCACATTCATTGCCTCAAAAATCAAACTAGTGACATTTCATTATCACTGATTGAACCCTGAATTTTTGCCTATCACAATAAATACATCTTAGCCCCTATTGGGACTTAAGTTCAACTGTAGTGGAACTCATACATTTGATTCATTGCTAAAAATGCTGGGAAAATGGTCAGTTTCCTATACCATTCCAGTAAGTATTTGACTTTTTTATCTTTACAAGTGCCAGATCAAACTGAAAATGGATTAGTTCTGCTATATACAAGTAGGAGCTACACAATCTTCACTTTCCAGTCTTAGAGACCAAAAGCATCTCTGCGTCCTTGTGAGCAATGAATTGTCTTCCACCCTACAACCCCTTTCCCACAGACAAAATGTAGCAAACTTTCTGCTGCTCTGTCGCTATATCCATGGAAAATGTTCAGACAAACTACATTGATTAATTTCAACCTTCCAGTTCTAACCTTAATGGCTAAAATACACCATGCCATACACATTGTAGAAAACCACCCTTATTCCCTTCATATTCCATTGGTGAGATCTAAGTTGTACTTGAACAGCAGCTTCTCATGAGCTGCTACTTTGTGGAACTGACTCCCAATCACTAAATCTTAACCTGTTCAAATCTAGGTTTAACTGCTATCTTCCCCATTTATCCCCATAAATTGTTCCCCTTACTCTGTAAACCTGTAGTGACTTTTGGGCCTTGTACAGAATGAACATTTATTATAGAAAAAACAACTACATTTTGTTTATCATCTGTGTCCTGGGTAAGATGATAAACTATACCTGACAGCAAGGCCTCTGATCTGAGTGTGAAAAAAATATGAACAAATGAAAAACATTAAGGAATGAGAACAATAAAAGAACGGGAATTAAAAAGACAGAAGATAACGATTGACATTACATTTAAATTCCTGAAGATCAAAGTTTACTGGAAAACAACAAGCCATTGGAGAGCTCCACAAATAAGAAATGTGAGAGAGGAAACTTAATGTAGAACTTATGACTACATCAAGAAATTTTAACTATAAAATGATGAAGCATAGCAACCAAACTAGTCAGTCATTATATTTGATAATCATGTCTTGTTTGACTCATGGCTGACTAAACAGAATATTTGCCTGCAGGAGGCAGCTGTTTCTTTCTGTGGCAGACCAGTTGCCAACCAAGGCTATAGTACCAAGTTTGTCTCACTATTCAGCCCAGAGCTGAGGGGAGAAGTAGATTCATACCTTTCCCAAGGGTATTTTACATGTAAATGGAAATGAAAAGGACAGCAAGAAGAGATAGTTGAAATTTCTAGGGCACAATGAGGAAAGAAGGCTTGGAAATATTGAAGGAAAATAAATAGAGGAAAATGGTGGATAACCTCCCTAACAAGCTTGTGCAAAGGGATAGCAGAATGGGGATGAGGAGATACATCAAAAAAGAAAAAAAAAGGACAGGAAATTGTGGAGAGCCATGACCGCCAATGTCCTGAAGGGACATGACACACACAAGAAAATCAATGTAAAAAATTATAATTTTGACAGCTATGAACCAGAATAACATTTGACTAATCAATTTTTTAAAATGTCAAATAAAAAGTTTTGATGACATTTCTTTAGATATGAGAAAAATTGTAAGTAATTAACTATGAGTGACCAAAAGGGCTAAAAAAGAAATAATCTCTATTTCAAATTTTGAGAAAGTAAGAAAATTGGAAGTATTCTGTGATCATTTATATATATTTTTTGGCAGTTTTTTCTTCCTTACAAAACTAAAAGGCAAGAAAAAGAAATGAACAAAAGAACAAATAGCGTATATTTGATTTAAAGATAAAGCATTGGCCAATCAGTCTACTTCTACCCTGACATTAGTTTGGACATCGGCTGTGCTAGCCAGACATTTCAACTACTTATGATAAGTTGGCATGTTTTTATTTTATGACCCAAAAACTCTTCCTTGATGATCATTTGGTATTCTGTAATTTCCATCCCAAACTTAAAAAAAAAAAATAATCATAATAAATGATACTTACGTATTTCATCAAAATAGTAGGGATACTGGCCTGGCAGAGAGCAATTGATTCTGGCTTTCAAGTAGGTGGACCACTCATTGATCAGCAGACGAGCACCGCCTTTGTCATTCTGAACAAGAAAAAAAGAAAAACAATTATTTACTGATATATATATATATATAATGCTTAATTTTCTTATTTTTTTATGTTCACACTCATTAATTTACTCTGTGATCTGTTTGGACTGTGCTATATAAGCACTAACCTAGCTTCCTAACATGTAGGTTTCACAGTTTCTAACCTATTACCCATCTTATCCATTCATGTTGATTGATCTATTCCTCCTGGGATAATTTATTACTTTTTTTTTTTTTTTAAATCTTTTCACCCAGGTGATTTTTTTGCAAGGTGATAATGCCACTAAGATGCAAAAAGTTACTGGGAGTGAAAGAGAATGAAAAGACTTTAGAAGGAACTGGAAATCTGTTATGGTGACCTATCTACATTAGAATGAATTCTGCCTCCTTCATAAATACTAACCTGCGAGACTTCCTAGGAGGCAGTCAGGACGCAGTGTAACCTGATAGTTTGGACGGACACTTCTATCTGTTGACTAATAACACTCTTATTTTGTATATATGTTCTGTTATTTCAGTACATTTGTTCAACCTACCTACTTCTTTCCGGCCCCTAACAGTCCACAAAAAAGTCCAGTCCTAAACAAGGGATAAACCTCAACTACTGTGGTGCCAAAGACCAAGAAGGAATTTTGACTATATATGTCTTATGAAGTGGAGGGGGAATATGCAAAATGCAAATGTCGGCTATAAGTATGTTCAGAGTGGTAAACACTGAAATTTTAATCTTAAAACTTTTTTTTTTTTTTTTGCAGCAGGTCAGCTACCTGATGAGCTTGTGTGAATAGATGAGAGATCTTTGTAAGGGGAGAAATGCTGCTAAGTGCCATGAGTGATAGGATGTTATTGAGAGCCATGATAGCCCACATCCTGAAAGAAGATGGCACACAGAAGAAAAAGAATATAAATAAATAAAGACACAAAAATAACAAAAGAAATGTAATACTTATTCATGCATGTTTCATTAAAGATGATGATGGACAAGGAATATCTTGTGAATTTCTTAGACTGCATCAGGACAATAATCACTACAGATAGTTTCTAAATGCTCTTAGACCTCATAAAAGAAAAAAAACTGAATAAAAATTTTACAAAATATTTGTGCTTGTCATATTCAACAAAACATGTAAAAAAAAAATTAAAAGATGGTGAGATGGACCCAACATTCACTGCCATAACAGCTACATAACAGTTCAGTACTCTTTTCACTAATCTACAAAAATTTTTTAATTCTGTCTCCTTTCAAGGCCTAAGCCATCTCTTTATAATATCCAAATTTCTGTAACTTCTTTGGAAAGATAGTGAAATGATTTTGCATTGCTTTCACCATGGTTTTGAATACAATGTATTAATTCTTCTAGACTGTTTGAGAGCTGAGATTAGAGAGTCTAGTCTACTCTTCAATTTAACCCATAGCTGGGGAGAGTAGAGAAGGTGCTATGCCTTTCTCGATAACATTACCTTGTATTACCAAGATGTGTGTATAAACTTGCATATAAAAGAATTCAAATTTTCTCAAACACTTCAATAGAACTACTGCTCTACAAAACAATTTTAATGTCATCTTCCTTTGGGTCCAAAGTGATACATTACAAATCTCCATAGCTTCTATTTCTTTATTATCAAGGAATTTCCATCACCTTAAAAATCACAATCCTCTGTGTCATGTTTTGCACTTAGATTTGTGGAGATAATGAAAAAAAATGGAGAACCTTTTTAACAATGTGTTTCATGGATGATGTGCGTTAGGTTCAACATCTTCAGGTCAAAATGAAAGACAAAACTGTGTGTAAGAAAAATGTGTTGGGATTTTTGAGGATAAAAGGGAGCAATAAATTACCTTGTCAGATCACACAACTAAAGACCAGAAGATGTTTTCTATTTTTCTTATATATATATATATATATATAAGAAATATAGTCTTAAGGTGTGCTATATTTATGGGATAAAGTGCTCAATATCAGAGATAGAGCATGTGTAAATATAAAAGTGAACATAGAAGTCAACACTTAGAGGCGACAGTCTGTTTCATGCTATATGCAATCATCAGGCCACATATGCTGTTATTTTTCTCAGCTATTTATATATATATATATATACGGGTTAGTGGTGCATTGTGGGTATTCTATTATGGCGGTTATTTTTTACGGGAAGTCGCTTTGTTTATTTATTTGGGTCGATCCGAGCTCATCTCAAAATGCAGGCATGAAAATAAATTTTTACTACGTAACCTAAAAAATGAAAAACGGAAAAAATAAAATAAAATAAATAAATAAATACTATGTTGCTTAAAAACCGAAAAGAGAAAATATACAAATAAATTGACCTAAATTCATCCAAGTAAATAAATAGACAAACCAATCCCAAATTAAAAACTGTTCCCGCCAAAAAAATAATAGTTAGAATGAACTACAACAACCAACCCCAAAATTGAACAAATAGCTTTAATTAAATTCTCAAACCAAAACAAAACTGTTAAATACATGATGTAAACAAATTTTTACTACGTTAATAAATAAATAAATAAAATAAGAAACAAAAAAATAAAAAACGAGCAATATAATTTGACCCAAATAAATAAACAAAGCGACTTCCGGTAAAAAATAACCGCCATAATAGCAATACCCACAATGCACCACTAACCCGTATATATATAAATAGCTGAGAAAAATAACAGCATATGTGGCCTCACGATTGCATATAGCATGAAACAGACTGTCGCCTCTAAGTGTTGACTTCTATGTTCAATTTTTTTTATATATATATATATATTAGAGTCGTTGGCGTCTGTTGGATTTTAAATCAGCTAAGTCTATTGCTTTTGCAATGATTGGTGATATTATGTATGGTCATGGTCTTAGATATTTTGTTGTAAATTGTGAGATTAGTGCACTCTCAATACATTTTATTCTCAGAATTATTTTCTCTTCTGATCTGACTTGCAGTTATTAAGTTGAAATTGTAGCCAGATATATTACGGTGAACAATCAATGTTTTTTTTTTTTTGCAGTATACCTCTGTGTTCATATAGTATTTACTTTACCTATGTACACAACTAACATTTTGTACAATCTATTCTGTATATTCCTGCCACCGTCTTTTTGTTGTTTCTATCTCATTTTGGTAATAACTATACCTTTTATGTTTTACAGGTAGTGTTGATGAATTTTAGGTTAAGCTTGAATAAGTTATTTTTTATGGCGGCTGTTTTGGAGTTGATAAGTAGTATCATATGCCTACTTTTGTGATGGTTGCTGGGATTATTATTATCTGTGTATATTTGCATTTATCTTCTGTTATTTTTGTAGGCTTTGCATCTGCTGTTGTTCAAACTGATTCAAATAACAGAAGCCACATCACTTGACGACTTTCAACAGAAGCAACAGCTAAAATGGATATCACATGTAAGTCGAAGAAAAAAAAAATAATGACATAATCAGGATTTTGACATTGTACACTACTTCAAATAATATCTTACAAAGAAACCCCCATCAATACTGTTTGAGAAAACTTTCTCCTGATAAACTGTTTGAAGAAAAAGATTTTCTAAATTTTAACTGTCTGTCTATATTTCTGATATGAGGTATTGTAACTATTTACATTAGCCCAGCAGATAAAAGCATTACTGAAGCAATCCAGTGACTTGCACATTCAATACCTGACCAGAGCACAGGTGAAAAAACAAAAAACTTGGAGAGTTGAATTACTAAAGACAGGTGACTGAAACTGAGGTGTCCAGAATAGGCATGGCATGTAGAAGTGAAGCAAGCTGCCCCAATGAATAGAGTGCCGAAACATTGGTCCTCATCTTTATTGTCATATTCACAATGTAAATAGTGTAAAAAAAAATTTCAAATAAGTGTTGTAATCTATGGACGGTTACTGAATAGAATTATCACATGAAAGTTGGTAATGAACAACATATATAGGATTCATCAGTGGCACGTAGAAGTAGTAATCAACTGACAGAATCAAGTCAAGTGAATTCCACAATGAATCTCTAACTGCAGAATATCCTACCAACCATCTTATGCAGCCTGCTATGGCACAAAGCAGAAATTAATATGTGGTATCCAAGCCCGTAGACTTGGCCAAAAATTACCCATAGATTCCTTATAAAACATGGTTGGGTAGCTGTTTCTCAAGACAAGATTCAGCCCTTCGACATAGTCTCATATGGAGATCCTCTCTGCCTCCAAACAGAGTTTGACCAGCACAGCTGGAGACAAATCTCCAACTGCAGACCAACATACAGTATTTATGTGAATTGGTAATATAGCCATTATTGTCCGTAGGTATCTTACAACAGATAGCAATACTGGATACTAGGTCAATGAATGTCAAATTTTTCCTTATAAGGAAGCAGTTAATATTACCATTATATTATCCATGAAAGGTGTATTGATCTACAGATAAAATAATGGTTATTGACAGAGAGAATGGAATTTCTATGCTAAGTTTAAACACAACCTGTTTTGTTCATTTTGCATTAATGCTCTTGGGAATGGTAAGAACCCATCTCTTCTACTTCCAGCTATGGCTTAAGTATCAGGGTAGCGTAGGTTCTGTACCTGTTGGTTGAAGCCAGCAGCCATTCTAGAAAAAGGACTACTACAAGTTTCAAACTGTGATGAAATTACTCCATTATCTTTCCCAAGAATGTATGACAACAGATATTAAAGAAAGGAAGCTGTCAAAATATATGATCATCCATCTTGAAGGGAGATATTTTAAAAAAGGAAGTAGTTTTTATTTCACTGAACTTATTAAAAGAAGACATGGAGAATCTTGAAAGCAAAGAGAAGCAGCAAATTGGATGGCATAATAGGGGTGGGATAGATTGAAAGGTGGGGTCAAACATTACTTAATGCTAGAATGGTACCAAATTCATGGAAAGCCATAATCATCCACATCAGACAGTTATGTGCTATGCGTGATACACACTTAAGCAATCATGTATTTGTTGATACATGACAGTAGGTTGCCATTTCTTTCTGTGGTAGACCAGTTGCCATCCAAGGCTATAGAACTCAGTCTGTCTTGCTATTTACCCATAGCTGGGGGGAGAAAAAGGATTCATACCTTTCTCAAGAGTATTAGCATGTAAGTGAATGTAATGGATTCGACTGGAATTTGAACTTGGCTCTCTAATTCCTCAATCCAAGCCACTATAAACTACTCCATACACCAAAGGTAATTGGGGTATAAAAAAAGTGGAAGAGACCAGGTACCGATGAAAACTTCTAATGCAAAAAATTATTCACTGATTACAAGGTAGCCATTGATATTATTATTCTTTTATGTGCCATCTCTCTTCAGGACATAGAAAACATGGTTCTCCATAACCTCCTCCTACTCTTTCTAGATCTTAGCAATATTTGTGTTTTTATTGACTCACCCACTCTCTGTTCTACCATCCATTTATACACACTTGTTAGGTAGGTTACTCAAAGATTCCCTCTACACATCTTGCCTTAATGCAGGACTAATAGAATGTGATGGTGGGAGGCTTCATTACGTAGGGCACATAATGAGGAAAGAGGGCTTGGAAAGTTTATCACTCACAGGACACGTTGAAGGCAAGAGGAATGCAGCAATTAACCTACTTAATGAGCTTGTTGACAGAACGGGGACTGGGTGGGATACTAAGAAAAAGGTTACTTAGAGCTATGATTGATAGGAAGTTGTGGAGAGCCACAATCGCCCATGTCCTAGAAGAAAAATGACTGTTTAATATGCATGCTTAAATTTGCACATATTTTAAAGTAGGATATAATAAGATAGATAATCAAATGGATCCATCAAGGCTCTTCATTTTGTTTCTTTGTCTTGGGGTTTGCCTGTCTCTTCAATGAAGATTTCAAAGAAAGGACGCTAAAGGAGAAGCCAACCAGCCAAGTAGATTGTTGGACAAGGAATTGATAATAGAGTAGTTTCTGAGATGAAGAAAAGTCAAGGAAGGAATAACGGATCACAGATAGGGCATCCCTAGAAATGAAGAGGCAGGTGAAGAATGAAGGGATAATGGTCTTGGTAGTGGCGCTAACTACTGAGGCTAACCAATTAGCATGCCTGATTAAAAAGATAATAAATTATGTGTCCCTTGTAAAGTGAAGATGATTTACAGATGCAATGTCAGCAACCAGAGAGATGGGAAGGCTGTGGTTAATGAGACATGTTTGGTTGGTGGCATTTAATAAGAAATTGTAACAGGGCAGTTCTAGGAATGGACAAAGAATGTGGGTGAGGATTGTTTTCAGGTGCAGGTTGTCAGTTTTGTCTCTTATTAGAAGTGGTGGTCTGTGATTGCTATGGAAATTTTATATGGTATTGGTGCTTTTTTAAAATGTCTCTCTATTTTTTCTTTCTTATCAAAAGAAAGAAAGACGAAATGTGGGGAAAATAACATAAGAATTGACATTAGTAAAGGGGGGGATGCAATTATCAAGAGCAGCTGCAAAAAGAAAGAAAAAGCAGAAAAAAATTAAGAAATTAAAGAAGCTAAAACAAAAAAAAAGAACAGAATAATAATAATAATAATAATAATAATAATGAGAGCAAAAAAGAAAGAAAGAAAAAACAAAAGAGCTCAAACCAAGAAGAAAAACAGAAGAAAAAAAGAAAGAATGACACAAGGAAAATAGTGCAAAATATGTATAAAAAATGAGAAGGAAAACAAAAATGGCTTTAAATGCAAAGGAAAAGAAGAGACTAAGCAATAAAATTTAAAGACAAAAGGAAGAACTAAAAACAAGTAAATTAAAAAAAAAAAAAGATCCAAATTGAAAACACAAGAAAGATCTAGAAAAATATGAAGGAAAGACAAAATAAGAGAAAGAAGAACTAAAAGGCTAAACAAGAAGAATGAAAAGAGCTAAGAAGCATGAAATAATGACGAAAGAAAGAAAAGGGCTAAAAAGCAAGACAGAAAGTAAGAGCAAAAAAGAAAGAAAGGAAAGAAGGAAAGACAAAAAAGGAAGAGCAAAAAAGAAAACAGGCAAGAAAAGAGAAAGAACAAAACAAAGTCAAAAGAAAAATATCTTTTCTGCAACAAAACAGAAAGAAAAAAAGGAAAAGCAAAAAAGAAAGAAGGAAATAAAAAAGAAAGAGCAAAAAAAGAAAGACAAAAGAAAGATAGAAAAAGATAATATAAAAAAACAAACTTACAAGCAAAAAACATAGGTATGAAAACAGTAAAAGAAAATAACTATAAACCAGTAAAGAAAAAATGATAAAAAAAAAACCCACAATAAATGCAAAAATGAAAGCAGTAAACTGATGTAAAAAGATGAAATAAAACATACAGACATCTTTTACGTCATTTGAATTGCAAGATTTAAAAAGATTTAGTCAATTGAAAATGAAAGACATGAAGCCAGACAAGCTGATAATGTCTTTTATCAACCAGCACACATAGATCTTGTATTCTTTAAAGAGAAATCAACAGACAGATTATTATAAATAATGGGAAACTTACCTTACAAACGCGGGCAACTCGTGAATATATTTTCTTGCCGCAATTGCTATACTCAACAGCTAATTCCCTGAGGAAGAAGAAGACTTGTTCCCCGGCATCAAAAGAAGCTACAAACTGTGGTTCTAGAAAAAAAAAAAAAAAAAATAGAACAAAAATAGCAATAAGTTATTAAAAACAGTTTTCATTTCTGAGAATTTATAAAGGATTTGATAATGGTATTTTTGAAATTTCAAATTGAGGATGTCAACAAAAGATGCTTCCCAAAAGCTATGCAACATACTAAGAAATAGGAACATTTCATTACAAACAAAGAAAAGACTGTTATATATCATTAATTCTCATATTTGAGAGTGAATGCTGGACAGTCTTCTCCCAGATGAAGAGAAGAATGGAATCAGCAGAAATGTGGTTCTCTAGAATGATTCTGAGAATACCATGAATGGAGTGAGTTAGCAACAAAGAAGTCTTAAAGAACTCAGTAGAAAGAGATAGTTGAAAATTCTTTGACACCTGATGCAGAAGGAGGACCAAGAGACTTTAATTCTTACAGAATATATCAATGACGTAGGAGTCAGTGAAAGGGGGTGAGCCAATTAACGAGCTTGTATGAATAGATAGCTGAATAGAGGAATGGGAGAGACAAAAAGACAAATGTTAATGAGAACAACAAGGGATAGGAAGCTATGGAAAACCATGATCACCCACATCCTGAAGGGACATGACACATAGAAGTAGATTTTTTTTAAATTTGAAATATATTCCTCCTTTTTCTTGACCATGATAATTCAACAGGTCTACTCACCAGCCTTCATTATAATCAATTAAGAATTTTGAACAGAACCCTTTATTTACACTATTTACATTTTTCAGACTGTTGTCCTCATCTTTGTTGCTATATTTATGCCATTTTAGCTAAGGCTCCAGCCTTCTTCAGATGATTGGAATTTCAAATTGAACCCTTTATTTCATCCACCGGAGTAGATTGTTCTAGATCCACATGCCACACCACTTTTGGATATGTGCTCAATGACACATGGCCCAGTGGATAAAAGTATTGGTTGAATCTAGTGACTTGATCGAAAGAGTTGTGAGTTTAATACCTGGCTACAGCAGAGGTGAACAAATGTTTGGAGAGTTGAGTTAAAAGGGCGATAACTCATACTGAAATATCTGAAAGAGGCATGGCATGTAGAACTAGGACAATCTACCCCCGTGGATGAAATAAAGAGTTCAGGTTGAAATTCCAATCACCTGAAGAAGGCCAGAACGTACAATGGTCAAAATGTTGTGAATATGGCAACAAAGATGAGGAGAACACTCTGAACAATGTAAATAATAATGTAAATTACAATACCTCACCTCAGAAATATAGTCAGGTATAGAACACTTTATTTCATGTTGTTTGTGAATGTTCTCTGCATTTGTTTTGCATCATAATCAACATCTATCAATTTGAGATGATGTGTTTGTTCTCACTCAAGGATCTGAACTCTCTACTTCAGAAAACAAGATAAATTTAGCAACAGAACCATGAATACAATATGTAAGTTTGAATGAAAATAGAAACTGCAAGAAAACGTATACTTACAATAAGAAAGAGACAGATGAAAGAAGGCTTGGAGAACTTAACTCACACAGAACATATTTATGGCTGAATAAGTCAGGAGAAAGAGTGAATAACCTAATTAATGAGTTTCTAAGAATGGTAGAACAGGGACCAAGAGAGATATTAAAAACTCAAATATTACTTAGAGGATATGGAGAGTTATAATAGTTTTTAACCTGAAAGGACTTAGCACCTGAAAGAAGAGAATAGTAATGATTTCTAAGATTTTATTTTTTCCAATCTTGTAATTTTCCTTAAATTTAAATTGGTCATGAAGTCATTTAAGATTCTATTTTCAGCAGAATGTTCTATCAAATTTGGAATTATCTCAACAGAAGAAATAATCTGGAGCCGGTGAAAGGAAGAAGGGAAAAATCTCCAATGAAAATGTCCAAGGAAGCAATTTGAGGTTTCCTAAGAGTACTTCTCATTTTCCAATTATGCCATGAAGAATTACATGTCAAGAGATTGTATAGCCTCAGAAACAGTTTCTTTCTAATAATTAAAATTTTATTTCTTTTTAAACATGTGAAATTGTTTAATTCCAGATTTGTTTCATCTCACATTACAGAGATGTGATTAATTTTTTTTTTTTCAGTGTTCATCAGTTTTAACATATAACATGAAAAAGAAAAGAAAAAGGTCCTTTTAACAAAATCAAGATTGACTGTGTTTAACCAAAAATTTTACCTTAACTTAGCAGATTTTATTGATTTATTTTATACAGTTTATCAACCACTTTTCAGGTTATTTAATGCCAGGAGAATGTAAGAATTATTTCTGAGATAATAATGATTTAGTGATACAAGTCTTACTATTTAACCCATAGCCGTGGTGAGAAGAGGTGGATTCATATCTTTCCAAAGGGCATTTGAGCATAAGTGAACATAACAAACACAACTGGAATTGGAACTCAGCACTCCAATTAACAATTCCAAGTCATTATACATTACACCACCCACATATCCAAACCAAGGAACTGATATTCCCAAGCAGTCAACTATCTACATACTGGTGAGGCTTAACGTCAGTGATCATACAGATCGGTGTTTCAACATGATATGGCCACCAATTTTTTGTTTTTGATCAATTTTGTTTTGCAGTGCTCAAAATTCTGACAGTAAAAATGAGAAGTTCTGATATTTTGAAGTATTACTTATTCTTGCTGGGTGGGGGTGCCTTAATCATTGAGGTACCATCAAGGTTGGTATATAGTCATTTGTCTATAAATGTTAAGCATTAGTTGTCTCCTATTAATAACAACCCATTTGGAGTTAGTCTAAGTATGTGGCACTGGTAGATGATATGTGGTTGGTGAATCAAGGCTAACCTCACTGCTTTATGTGCAAATCTCCATGCTGAAATTACAATTCACATCAGACAATCTTCCAATGGTGTGTTTCAACAATTTAAAAAATTACTAATTTATTTCAGATCACACTGACTTACTTAACTGTCAAAATATGTAAAAGATATAATGAACATTCAATGACAAGCAATACTACTAATAAGAAAGACAGACTGTGGCTGAGTAGTCTAATACACACCAAATCAAAATGCAGCTTCTCTTACAAAGAGGCGGGCAGATTCGTACCCTACCAGCCATCACAAATATAGATGAAAAAATATAAACATCCTGGACTCAACTGAAAAACAATACTGTAAGATATTGAAAATGACTGGAATTATGACTAAAAAATGATTGCATCTTTAAAGTAATCCATTTGAACAATGAATAATGTATAATTATAAATTATCAACATATACAAACATTCAATATTAAAAAGAAACTATAAAATATTTTTGACATATCTCGTGTCATTAGTTGGTGATTTACAACAGAATTTTGGCCCTCCATCCTCCAATATCCACTACCATTTAATACGTTTATAGAGCCTTAATTCCTGACCATAGATAATCCCTTCCTAAATTTCAATGAATTTGTGTCAGAACAAAATGCAGTATATCCAAAGAACAAAAGAGCAATGAACAGAAAACAGTTTCCTAAGAACAGAAAGTGTGGTATCCAAAGAACAGTATACTAAGAAAAAAATGTGGTGTCCTGAGAAGAAAATCTGATAACCTAAGAACAAAATGTAATATCCTACTAACAAAGAGCGATACCCTAAGAACAAAATGTGATTACAACAATAGTAAGCTAATAACAAACAGAAATACCCTAAGAAGAAAGTGTGGTATCCTAAAAACAATGTGTGATATTCTAAGAACAAAGTGTAGTATCCCAATAACATAGAGTGATACCCTAAGAACAAAATGTGTTATCATGAGAACAAAGTATGATATTCAAAGATCAGGATGTGATATCCTGTGAGAAATATGGTTTAAACTCAAATACGTGAATGTGTCAAGATGTAAGTAAGTAAATCTATGCTTGTGTGAGAAAACAATGACTTGCATTAAGTCACATTCGTTTCAAAAAGGGAAGACAAAAAACACCAAAAATAAAAATTGCATAAATAAAAATGAAATGTAATATTCTCGGAAAGAGATTGGTTAAGAAATGTTTCAAAATTATGTGGAATAAAAAAAAAAATAAGTGAAGATATAAATCAAATATGGCTCAGAAAAGCAGAAATGTGATAAATGACAAAATAATTCATGAAAAAAAAAGTATGAATGAAAACTCGGGAAAAACTGACATTGGCAAACGAGGATTATTAAAAGAATAAGGAATTGAATTTTCGGAATAATAAGAGAAAAACATAGAAGAATGGGAAAAAAATAAAAACAAAACAGTTCATGATGTTATTAACTGCAGAATACAAAGACAAATAAAACTGAAAGATTAACACGAACAAGAAAAAAATAATATCCATTCATCTCTCACGAAAAATATTTAGATTTTATATCGTGTTATATAAATAATGTAAATTTGTTTGCACAGTGAAGTATATAAAATGAAATTTATAAAAAGGACATAGAATGAAAGTTTTCATCTGTAAAAATGTCAAATATTTCAAAACAAGTTAAAATAATTCTGTTATGAACTTAAAAAATTGTGATTTTATATATATATATATATATATAGTCCAGTCATCTATTAAGAAACAATTGAATCAAATTTATAATCGTAATTATATTATTTATTTTCTATATTATACAAAACATATTTCTATTAATGTTGTAAATCCAGAACACATTTTTCATACTTAAACTTAGGTCTTTTCTTACTATGTTTATTCTGATGTGACAAAGAACAAATAGGAAACATTTATCAATCTAACATGTTTCACTTTTATTAAACCTCAATCCAAGAATGCGATATTGAGAAAAAGAAGAAAGAAATTCTGGTATTTTTATTTTTGTGTTGTTTGGTTTTTATAGGTTAGTCAGGTTTCACTTGTATTTGACTTGTTACCATTAGTATAATTTATGGCATTCCAAATTCAAGGAGAGTCAATGTCTACTTTTGAAATTTCACAAAATTAATGAATTCCAAGCCTAAGAAAAAAAAAAAAAATGTAAATATTGCTTTACATACACATACAAAAATAT